CGTTACTTTCTTCTTTGCAACATAAAAGGCCACTGCCTTCTGAACTGACAAAAAAAAATATTGGCAGAGTACATAAAGCACGGCCTGCAAATCATCTGCTGCGAGTGTAATTGTGAGGGGTACTGGGCTGTGTTTGTTGCACCATTAGACATTACAGCTATGTGGAACATTTGTAGGAAATCTGAGAATGTGAATGCGCCATGTGCACCTCTTTCGTCATGAGGTTTGTCAGGACAGCGCCTCGTTTCCATTTCCATGTGTTTGTGGGTCGGACCACGCTGGAGGCTTCGGCACCAAATCTGACCCACAAATTCACTGTCAGAGGTTTTTACACAAGGTGTGGGTCAGGGGGTCACGTCACGCCGCATGACTCTGATCAACACTTAACAAGCTGTCTGCCTGTACTGTGATCATGACAACAAGTAACTGATCTGAAACGCTGCCCGACACCAGAGCAGCAGGTTTACGACTGTGGAACGTCATCAGGGTTCTTCAGTTAGACAATAATCAGGTAAACAGCAGAAATATGGAGCTCACAGTACATCCCAGTCAGCCCTCAGCAGACCTTGCACGGTGCCGAGGCAGGACCTGAGTCTCTGCTGTGTTGTCAAAGTCTCAGCAGTGAAGTCTCATAATGAGGTTTCTGAATGTCCGGTGCTGCTGGTAACCGTGTGAGAAGAGTCTCAGCACATGAATCATAAACACAATATTGTTAAAATCGTTCATCAGCGCGGCTATAAAGGAACTTTAGAGATCTGTATCCTGTGTTGTTTTCCATGTTGTGTTAAAGGTGTTTTGATCGAGCGATACGTCCCCCTAACGCCTCCATTATACTGCTGCAGACGTGTACAGACGACTGCACACACCACAGACGTGCAGCTACTATCTAGTCAGAATGGAAGACTCTGACCTCTACATGCGCAGCAGGTCATATGTACGTATTCCTGAGCACGCTCACTGCTGCCCTCACAGAGCAGTCACGTGGACGCCGTGGAGCCTAAAGGCTGCGCTAGGCGTCCATAGAGGGATGTTCGTGGACATTCACAGAGCTGGGCAGATGACAAAATGTATATCATGCAGACTCTCTCCAACTCTGACGTGCTTGGAGAGCAAACCACTGAACACAACACGACGTTATTAAACCAGAGCGGTTAGCATCAGTGGTTCTGCTCCAGCGTGAGCTACTGCACCTGCTACAGCCCACAGCTGGCTCTCTACCTGTGTCTTTAGCCACCAGGTGGACAGGATTCCTGATGCTGAAGGACAACTGAAGACCATCACCAGGACCAGCAGCCTCTGCAGGGATTACTTTACACCACACAGGTTTTCCACATTTTCACTGGAGACAACTGGGGCTCACAGATAATTTACTGGTGGTGAATGGGGCCAAACCAGTCATTTCCTCCTCCCATCCTGTCGTCTGGTGCCATCCTGGGCAGCAGATGCCCACCAGTGACTCCAGGTTGCCGTGTGTGTTCAGTTTATTATAGGTATGTCAGTCCACAGCTGCAGAGAGATGAACATGCTCCATATCTACAGAGCGCATCAGGCTGATGTCCAGCTGCGTGCTCAGTGTGGCTCATGTGGGCTGATATCTGAGCTGTCAAACATCATTTTTTATCACTTTCTAGTCGTTTTTTCAGTCATTCCACCTCGTCTGAGTGCTGCTGACAGATATGTGCAGAGTGATATGGTCAGAAAACATGTTCATCACTGCTTTATTGTAAATGCTTAACATTTCCCTTTTACAAGAGTCTGACACACATCCAGTGGTGTGAAAAAACCTTTAAATCCTAACATCCATCCTCCATTGTTCTGACAGGCAGATGGCATTTCCTGTGTGTGGAATAGGTGGTCCTGCTTGGGGCAGTTCGGGACAGCGTTTTGTTTTTCATTGACTTTGCAGATTTGATCCACATCAGATTGCCACCAGCTGTTACTTTTACACCCATTTCAGCAGCCGTACTCAAACACCTCGCCCCAAATCAGTACAAGTTAGGATGGTCTGTTGTTGACTGACTACAGTGGCAAGTGCTGCGTTGCACGAGTGATGTGGGCGTGATTAGAAGCACATGTTACGCAGAAGAAGGAATAACTTCCCATACAGATGCAATACTGACCACATATTTCTCTCAGAAGGATAAATAGCATAATTTGTGACCGTGCATGCCAATAAGATTTTCGTATTGCCTTTGATTTCAGCCTCAGCACCAGGACTTTTTAGAGATGTAATGCTTTCCATTGTTTGCCGCCGCACTCTGCCAAACCCTTTATCCCAAAGGGTTGGTAGTTTTGATCAAATGATCAAAGTACACAATTGTATCTGTAAGACATATGGCTATTGAATTTGCTTTATCACCACACTCTGGTACTTTAAAATACTTGTGCTGAGTCTGCACTGCAGAGACGGCTCGCTGAGGAAACCAGAGCTTCAGTGGTTTCGCTGTTGCAGACAAAGTCGGTTGAAAGAGTTCACGTTCCGTCAACCTCCTCCGTCTGCTCAAACTACTGACATCCTCCGTTTATCCTCTGTTTACCAGAGTCCTCTCCAACAACCCGGGGACGGGGGGAGATGTGCAAACGTGTTGTGTGCTTAATTCTAACACACAACGAAAACACCAGTAAACCCAACAGAATACATGGGAACGGGTCTGGTGCTGCCGGCTGATGGAGAAGATCAAATCCAAGCCAGCATGTCAAAGGAAGGTTTGTCAGTGTCTAGGCCACCGTGCACTGGTTCATGTTTCCACTGTGGAACTCTATAGCATCCATCATACCTGTTCTGTCTTCTGGTTTGTTTCTGGTGAAGCTGTGCCACTAATGGTCAGTACTCCATGGGTAGTCCTGCTTGGTCAGCTAGTAAGGAAGAAAAACTACAGTTTATAGTTTGTTCAGGGCTTTCATGTAGATGTTGAAGGACCATCATAATGCTATCACTCTGAATCATCTTTAACTTCATGTTGAGCTTTGTCTCTTTGAGCAGAAGATCTGAGCACATGGAGGTGAGTCTCTGACCACACCTGTACTGTGATGAGCTGGAGTGTCAGCTACAAAGTCATCAACACTGGATCATGTATGATGTAATCAACATCCATCCATCCATACTTACATTTCGTTGCGTTTATCCAGAGTCAGGTGGAGGTGGCAGTAGAGCTTTCCAGATGTCCGTCTCTCGGCTCCTCCTGAAAGATCCAAAGGCGTTCCCAGGTCAGTTCAGACATATGATCCCTCCAGCATGTTCTGGACCGACCCTGGGCTCTCCTTCCAGTTGTACATGCCCAGAAAACCACCAAATGAAAGCATCCTAATCAGATGCCTGAACCATCTGATGGAGAGGAGCAGCGACTCTACTCTGAGCTTCCTCCGATGTCCAAGCTCCTCATCCTCTCTCCAAGGCTGAGCCCAGCCACCCTACGGAGGAACCTCATTTAGGCCACTTGTATCTGCATTCTCATTCTTTCAGTCCCTACCCAGAGATCACGACCATAGCTGAAGGTTGAAATATCAGCTGGTGAACTGGAGCGTTGCCTTCTGGTGGAGATCACTCCCAACAGCCCAGTTCAACGACTGCATCACTGCTGGTGCTGCACCAGTTTGTGACCGGTGAACAAGATTCCAAGAGACCTCGACTCCATCACGTTGGAAAGCGAATCATCTCCGTACCAGTGTTGACCATCCACCGGCTTCCTGGCCTTAGATGTGGACGTCCTGACTCTCCTTCACGCTTGGCTGAAACAACTCCGTTTGTCTTGATGATGCCAGAAGAACCACATCATCCAGCAAAAGGAAGCAAAGACGTGACTGAGACTCCCAGACCGGCGCCCTGCTCATCCCGGCTGTGCCGTGACATATTGACTGTGAACATCACAGACAGGATCACAGACATGATGTCAGCATGTCGTATCATCAGTAACACACCAACCGTGTCACACGTCCACAGCCGTCAGTGGGACATTTTAGGAGATGTACGGAGCTGTTTGCTGTCTGAGGAGATTGACTCTGGAAACAGGTGGAATCAACAGGCCAGGCCTCATCCACTGACAACAGAAACCACCGACCATGACTGATCTAAGGGTGTGTGATAGACTGGCCGGTACCACCTGAGCCCCCCGATGCACAACGTTCCCAGTGTGGATGTAAAGCGTGGGAGGAAGAGATGCACTATGCTGTATAGCTTAGCGTTAGTGTAGATACAGTGTGTGTTCCTGATGAAGGGATGGAGTACGTTCTAACACCAGATGGACTGCAGCCTGCTGACAGTCTGCTCAGACGCCACTCATACCTGCTGCATGTATGAAGCTATTCATTGTAATTCACTGAGGACACATCACTAATTCACTGTGATTAGTCCCCGTCCTCATTGATCCACTCCAGGACTTACACAACAAGAGACAAGGACCCTGATAATGCTCTCGTACTAATTGCATCAGTCGAATCACTGGCTGACTATCAACACACTCGTGACCTCTTCCAAGCTGTCCGAGAGAAAATGATTTTTGCACTGAAGGCAGCGGAGCAGCTTCTTTCTCACTTAGCGCTGTGTGCTTGTCGTTGCATGCATCAGTTAGGATGTGCAGCTGTTCATGTCTCCTCTGTTCCAGCTGACTCTGCTGAAGATTATGGTGCTGCCCAGATGTGATGTAGTGTTTGCTCAATAAATCTGTGGGCTTTGTGTTAAGAATCAGTGAAGGCAGCTGCTGCTCGCAGGGACAAAACAACTCATGATCTCTGAAAAATGTGGGACGATCACGTAGCAGCGTTTTACAACATGTTGGAAGGAATTATATTATCCCCAGCACTGCTGTAGTTCAGCTCTCCTCTGCCTTGTTGTGTTTGACCTGCTCTTTCTCCAGCTCTGCTGAGAGTTCCCAGTCAGCCTCTTGATTATCCAACACCAGTGAACACTGTTTGCATATTTCCTCCTCTTATCTGATAATTAGATTACCTAAATCATGCTCTTGTCACATGCACCAATCAGCCGTGACATTAAACCCACTTGCCTGATGTTGCGTAGTTCCCCCTTGTGCTGCCAGAACAGCTCTGAGTCATCAGAGCATGAAACCACCGTGGTGTCCGAAGCGTCCAGCACCGGCAGGCTGGCAGCGATCCTCTGGGGGTTCACCACATCCTGTGGATGCTCCGTTGGATAGTCTGGCTCCTCCAGCCGAAGCAGTCTTTGCATTGTAGCTGGTGGTGTCGCTGTGCTGGGGGAGGCTTGTTGGCACCAGGACCTCTGGGCTCCCAGCAGAACACGGCACTGAAACAAGATGATCAGTGTGACTGAATTCATTTTAACCCTGTTCAGGACTGTTGGGGTCTTCTGGACCCTAGACCATGTGGTTCAGGTGACAGGTGTTGGTCTTTTTTTTTAAATATAAACAGAGGAACATGTGTCGTGCATTTTTAACCAACAACACGTCAACTTATCAGAACATGTATTTAACATAAAGTCTGTAATGAACACCAACAGATATTCTGCACATGCTCTTTGTTGGAACACCTTCTACGTCTGGAAAGTCCTGGACAGGGTTCATGTTGTGGCTAACTGGCATGTTGCTGAGCACTTTAGTTTTTATGCTCTAGTTGTGTCGAACTTCTTCCTAATCAGGCAACTTTAACTGAAATCGGCCGATCAGGGACCTCAGAACAAACTGAGCCTGTGGGCGTTGAATGAAAATGAATGTTACCCAGCAGAGAGCTCTAACAGAAGGCCCTATGAAGCTGGATGATGGTCCAGCCCGTCAGAGACATCAGGTGTAGCTACACCTACAGCTGTAGCATCAGCACTGAGGCTGCAGGTACAACCAGGCAGCTGCAGCTTTCAGCTCATAGGTGTGTGATATCTGGCTCTAGAACTTCAGGAGGATCATCTTGCAAATTTTGAAGTTATTCCAGAACCAGGACACGAACCGGCGACCTTCTAGCTGTGAGGCGACGGTGCGACCCACTGATCACCTGCAGCCCTAATTGGAAAAAATAAAAATAAAAACAGTTAGCAGAAGTGTAGATGATGCCAAACATCACGTCTCCAGCTGTGTGCTGGGTCCTATTTTACTGCTTAACTGAAGATGAAGTGACTGTAGCTGTGTCAGTGTTCAGACCACTGGCAAAGGCCAAGAATCCTTCAGACACGTGTTTCATTGTCTCGACCTGAAAAACTAAAGTCTCGTTAGAACCGTTTTGGGGATTGAGGACCTGGTGGAGGTGTGATGCTGAGCAGCTGAGCAGGAGCTCCTGTAACCTGGGAATCAGTCTGCATGACAACAACAGCAAACAAACCGACACTCACTGGCTTTACAGAAGCTTTCAAACCCGGTCTGTGTCGGCGTGGAGCTGCCTCGCTGCTCCCTAGTGTGGCTCGACTGTAAAAGAGCTGGAAGCTGTGACGACCCTGAACAAGAGAACGAATTAACAGCAGGAACAGAAAACATGAGCTGCCTGGAAACAACAGAGAAAAACTCCCAACGTCCACGGAGGAGGTCAGAGGTCACTGGCAGGAATCAGGAGGAGGCCGTGAAACGTTCAGATCAACACCAGAGCCTCTCTCCTGATGCAGTTTGTGTTCAGAATAAAACTATCTTTACTTTCATCTCGTGTTTAGCTGTACTGTCCCTGTTGTTCCTAAACTTTAGCTTGGTTGTGTGCTGGTGACAAACCAGCCTATAAAGTTGGTTTGGTTCCTGCCTGATGTGTACGATATACTACAAGTTATATGTATTTAGTGCTACAGCTGCTGTGTTTGTCCCTTTATGCAATATTAATAAGCACAGGCCACTGAAGCAGCACACAGGGCTCTACGGCCTGAACGGGAAGCCGCCGCCGCCGCCTTTTTTCTGCTTCGTGTCTCTTTTTCCTTCTTTGCTCCGTGGACGAGGCCGTCTGGCCCGAGTCTGCCTTGTTGTGGCAGCAGCTAGACATTTTGTTCAGCTTCATGCTGCCAGAAACCACCTACACATTGTGCAATCACAAGAAGAAAACACACAGCAAACAGAAAACTCAGGATTCCAGCCGGCCTGGATGTGCACAGAAACACAGTGAGAACCCAGCAGGACGAGGTGTTCTGCATCCAGCCCTGAGGTTTCTGGACGTCTTCCTGCTGCGCGCCACAAAAGGACATCACGCTGACAAATGCAGTTTTCTTCTTTGGCAGGACGAACACGAGAACTTAACTTTTATTGTTTGTGTTTTTGGTTTCAGTGAAACAGTCGCTGTCCTCTGAACAGATGTGAGCAGCTCCACATGTGGACAGGTATCCAGAGGAGGAGGCTCCAGCAGACCGCTGAGCAGACAGAGAAGTGCTGCCACGCTGAACAAACATCTGGATGCTGTTATCCATCCTGTCCACCGGTCTCTCTACCTCTGTGTGCCGGCCAGGAGGATCACCTGAGCTGCAGACGGAGGTACAAGGCTCCCTCCTGTTGGCCACCGAGGGAACAGAACATCTCGCTCAGGACCTGACAGGCCACCCGGACATCCTGCCAGTGAACAAATAAGAAGCTCTCACTAGGGAGTCACCATGGCAGCAGAACACTGGATTCTGATTGGCTGATCGGCTACTGTAAATGAAGCAGACTGGTCCGACTGAGAGGGTTCAGATATGCTGCAGCAAAGGCGACAAACCAGAAGCAAGTCACCGGCTGTTGCTGTTTTTGTGGCACCTTCAGAGTCTCTAAGAGGAAAAGTGGCTACAAAATTGTATATATATATATATAAAGGTTAAAAAATAAATAAAATATATATATCTTCTCAGTGCTGTTTATTCTCTATATCAGCTGTAACGTCCCTCTGAGCAGCTGGACGTGTTTTATTGTTTTATTCCAACATTATTAAAAATAAATGAAAAGCTGCTGCCAGCATTTCCTCTGTGCAGCTTTGACACATAATTATTATTATTACGCATCTATTTTAGAGATTTGTTTCTGACTCCTGACTTATTGAATGATCTGGTTCAATTCTACACATTTGTTTAGACAAGTTTTTAGTTGACAGCATTTCTGTTGGCCTGCTTTTTATCTCCATGATGTACCCTTTACTGTTCATATCATGTTGTCTTGTGTGAAGCACTTTGTGATTTTATTCTGTGAAAGATAATCTATAAATAAAGTTCTTCTCCTAATAAATGACCAGGTTTGATTTAAATTGAATTTTAAAAAATCTACAGATTAAATTTGTCAGAACTTTTTGTTTAGGATGCAAATTCACAAATTAGAAATGAACATTTTAGATGTAAGGTAATAAACATATCTGACAATAACTAAAAACCTTTAATTTGGAGCATCAGTGGCTTTGTTGTGGATCCACTTCTACTTTCTTCTTTCTTTATTTTGTAATGTTTTAATACTGAAAGCTGCTTGTTGGGATTCACTGGAAATATGTCATTAGCTGAATCTAATTTTAATATTTCTGTATCATAAAAAAGTGCATTTAGTTGAAGGAGCCGTGGATTGTGGGATGAGGATATTATTAACTAACTGACCCTAAACACTGTCACACTGGTTTCATGGCTGGTGACGGTGTGAGTTTGAAGAGAAGCTGAAGGGCCTGAAGCCACTCTGGAGTCTAAGTAAAGCTGTTTGGATTTATGTGAAGGACAAAACAACA